CGGAGTGGAGTCCCTAAGACGGCTGGATGGCACCTCGTACGCCTCCTTCCAGCAACTCCTGCAGTCAAGCTGGTGCCAAATGTCTTGCTCTGCTTTCCTTTGGACCACATCTGCAAGGCCGGGGGGGGGGCGGTCTTGTCACTGCCCAGGCTTTCATGCCAGGGAGGTCACTTCAGTGCTGCTAACACAGCAGTTTGATTGCACCCCTGGGGGTGTAACTCCATTGTCTCTCGAGACAGATGGATGCCAATGATATTGTTAACTGTCCTGTGGTCCTCAAATGAAGGGCAGTAGGGAAATTTAATAAAAACAAGTACGCTAAGTACAGTCATACCTCGGGTTGAATGTGCTTCAGGTTGAGCGCTTTCAGGTTGCGCTCTGCAGCAACCCGGAAGTAACGGAGTGTGTTGCTTCCGGGTTTCACCGCTCGCGCATGCGCAGACGCTCAAAATGACGTCACGCGCATGCGCGGAAGTGGCAAAACGCATCACGCGCCATCGCGTCTTGCGTTCTATTCAGGATGCGAACGGGGCTCCGGAACGGATCCCGTTCGCATCCTGAGGTACCACTGTAAATAAGTTTTCTGAGTGTTCAAGCTGCACAGGCACTCGCCTGCTATTGCAGAGTGCTGTGCACTAGCTATCTTCCAGCGACGAACTGCAGTCAGGGCGTTCTATTTCCTGTTATGAAGCACCCCTAAAAACATCACAACTTTTGATATGATGGCCTGGCAACTCAGAGGGAAGTTTCACTGCTGTCCTGGAGAAACCACAAGAGTCTTCATTACAGATAGCCAGGCTCTCATGTTCCAAGCAAGCAGAGTTGAAAGGGAAACGGGCGAATTCACTATAGTCTTTTACTGGAAATGCTCTGCCCATATCCTACCGTTTATAAATTTAAAAGTGAACGAGGGAGCATCAGACCCTTTCTAGGAGTATTGTCAGGATGTGGTCATCTGTATGTCCCACCTCCCTCCCTCCCAGTTACTCATCAGGAAGTTTCAACAGCCCAAGGCTATTTTGCCAGTGGAGCCCAAGATAAATGGTGATATCTCTTCTCCACCTCACCTGGGCAGCAGAATAAATTTTTCTAGAAGCCTTATTGCAGACATTTTATTTAGTCAAGCTTCCGGGCTGGCACCATTTTAAAACTTTCAACACCCATTGTGTCGAGGAGATAGGATTGATAGTCTCTGTTGCACCCAACTAAGTCGTCAGAAGTGCTGCTTCTTGCCTTGATAGCTAGGAATCTTTTAGATACCTCATCTCTCTCTGCCCAGCAACTTTCCTGGGGACTTCCCCACTTCCTTCTCCCTTGTTCCCTTTTGCTGCTAAAGAGGTGTTGTCACCTCTCCCCACGTGCCTCCAACAAACCCCGCCCTCACAGAATAAGACAAGGTATTACCGTATTTTTCACTCTATAAGACGCACTTTTCCCCTCCTAAAAAGTAAGGGGAAATGTGTGTGCGTCTTATGGAGCAAATGCAGGCGGGAGGCTCTACACATCACTCCCTTTAAAGAGCTCTGTGGAGCGTGTGTGCGGCTCTTGGGGGCTTTTCCCCCAGGAGGGAGAAGGGCTGCCCTCCACGCACTCTTTAAAGGGAGCACGGCTCTTGGGGGAGCCTTAGCCGCATGCAGCCTCTCCCGGGCAGGGGATGAAGGCTCCCATTGCTGGGGAGAGGCTGTGCGTGGCTAAGCAAGAATCCCGCTGGCTGTCCTGGCTTCAGAATTTTTTTTGTTTTGTTTTCCTCTTCCAAAAACTAGGTGTGTCTTATGGTCTGGTGCGTCTTATAGAGCGAAAAATACGGTACACCCCCCCCCCAAGCCCATCATCTGACCAACTCTATCCCCCACCTCCTTCCGTCTTCAAGGGGAGACTTGAGTAGTATCTACATCCATTCTTCTTTTGTCAATGTATCAACATTATCAACAGGGCGGCTGGGACAATAACATGAACAAATGGTGTGTGTGTGTTTGTTTTGGTCCATGCTCTTCTTTCCGCAGACAGCGGGAGCTTACCTGTAATTGAACTGGACACAGTCACCACCGAAGACTTCCTGGATGTGATCACTCACACGAAGCCCTCTGCTAAGAACTTGAGCCAAAAGTACACCGAGTGGCAAAAAGAATTTGAGTCCGTCTGAACTCCACCCCCCGGCAAGTCAAGATTTCAACCATCCAGATCCCAACAAATTTCTGGGAGCCAGAGACTGAATACTTAACATTAAAACGGATATTATTTTTTCCTTTCTAAGAGAAACAGAACAATCCATTCTCAAAGGTGCACGCTAATATTTTCATTTAAAGAACTGAGAAGGGGCTTGGCGGTTGTTTGCTATCGAGCCCCTCTTCCCTCTCCTGCCTTTACTAATAGGCAGTGGGAAACATTTTTGCACTTTTATGCCTGAAATCCATTTAATTGTAATATCCTCTTACATCTACCGCCAGACATACACATATCCCTGCGCTGACACCTAGGATCCACAGCACACTGACACCACAAGTATTTTGCTGCTGGCGCTCCCCTCTTCAGAGGTTCAAGGACAATATTTGCAATACCAGAAGAGGTGGTGGTTAGTTGGACTTTTCAGGGATCCTTGTATTAAAAGCAACAGGTGTTGAGCAGGACTTGCAACGATGAAGAATAAACTACTGGTCCTCTTTGAGGGATGCATTCCTGGATCCCGTTTCACCCCTTGCCTGAGTTTATTGAGAATCTAAGGTAGACTTTTCAAAGAGTATTTTCCTGTAAGTGAAGGGATCACTTCTGTCTTGGGGCCAAACATGACGCAGCCTTAGAGCTGAATAACTTCCCAACAGTTTTGAATATTGCAGCTGCGGGAGACGCAGCAGTGGGGAGGGTGCTTAACTTAACCCTGTCCTGCAGGCTGCTTTCCTATGAAAGTTGACAAGTTGTCCTCACAAAAGGCGCTTCTTCCTCGGAAGAGGATACCAGGGCCATGGAGTTGGCTTTAGTGGGAGACTCAGAGGCTTCCTCTATTCGTGTCTCTCTCCTTTACATCATATGATCTTCTAAAGCTAGACATAGGGCCTTCATGTCAAATTGACCCTAGGCTGTGGAACCGCTAAACTGATGCGACTAGAACTGCTTTTAATTCGGGATTTTAAATTGTTGTAACCTGCCCTGGGGACCTGCTGATGAAGGGTGAGTAATAACAACAGCAGCAGCAAATTTATGGATGATAACTAGGGCTGGGCGATATCTGGCTTTCAACATCGTGATATATCAACCAGCTAAACATTGAAATATACCAGTAAAGTGGTACCTCCGGTTACGAACTTAATCCGTTCTGGAGGTCTGTTTGTAACCGGAAACCACTCGTAACACGAGGCACGCTTTTGCTAATGGTGCCTCCCGCTGCTGCTGCCACCGCCGCGCCGCTGGAGCGCGACTTCCGCTCACATCCTGGGGCAAAGTTTGCAACAAGGGCATCTACTTCCAGGTTAGCGGAGCACATAACCCAAAGCATTCGTAAAGGGGATGGTACGTAACACGAGGTACCACTGTACATCACGATGTCTGAAATAAGGATGGAGAAATGTAGAGGCATCAGCTGGCTACACGGTTTTCCCCACATTATTTTTGCTGGCGCCTGCTCTTGTGATTCATGGTCCCTTGCATGAAGCAGGGGAGAGCTGAACCAGCAGAGTTAACAGGGGCTGCAAGAACCCAGAAAAGCATTGGCTAGCTTCACGGTTTTTGCCACATTGCGATTCCCGCATAGCACACACACACAATGGTTCATGATATTTTGCCAGGTCAAAATTTTTGAAACCAATCTCACAATATGGACTTCAAATCAGTTTTGGATGATATATCACCTGGCCCTAATGATAACAGTTCCCCTGCCCCTTAGAGCTCAGTGGACCTTTCAGAGTGTTTCCCTTGTCAGGTCTGTTCACTCAGTGTTTGTGCTTTTTTGTTTGATTTTTCAAGTGGTTATTAGTTTGTATTACTTTAAAATGATGATGATGATGAATGAATGAATGTATGCTACCTTGAGTCCTGGAAAGATGGCTAATAAGCGCTTTAACAATAGGCCAGTTAAATAAATACCCACAAGTAAATTTAGCTAGGTTAGGGCTACTAGTTGCTTATTGCCTTGACATCTGATGGGAGGGCATTCCACAGGGCGGGCGCCACTACCGAGAAGGCCCTCTGCCTGGTTCCTTGTAACCTAACTTCTCGCAGTGAGGGAACCGCCAGAAGGCCCTCGGCGTTGGACCTCAGTGTCCGGGCTGAACGATGGGGGTTCTGACCTTATAGTTCTGACTATAAGGGGAGATAACACAGGACTGTATCTCAGTCTTTCGAACTGGGACCACAGATAGTGTTTTTAATGAGCAAGCTAAAGCTAGCTTTGAGTACAGCTGCAGTCCTGTGCACTGTTAATCAGAAGTAAGCTCCATGGAACCTGGACTAACTTCTGGGTAAAAGTGCGTAAGATTGGCATGCACATCCCACGGCAAACAGTGAGATTTGTCAGTTCTAACTAACTAGTTAATTTCAGTGGAACTTGGGTTGTAGTTCTAACCCTATTTGCCTGTGTGCAAGTCTCACCAGATTTGGGCCAGTGGTTTTTTTAGAAAAAGATTGTTTTAGGTTTTGCCGTTACCATATTTATAGCCCACTTTTGGTCCGGAGGGACTTGGTCTCATCAGGGCAGCATTTTCCAGTTATGAAACAACAATTATGGTTGGATCCTGCCAGAGTGAAGGAAAGATTTACACATGTGCTTAGCGCTGCTGCTTGAAATCGGCAGTTAACTTTGCCTAAACGGTTGTGTTTTGTTGTGTCTTTTGTTATATGAATCTCTGATCAGCGTTCCTAATCTTCTTTCCACTCAGCTACGGTCTCCGTTACAGTCCTGGTGTCTTTTCCATCCAAGAGATTGTAGCTGTAGCTCATTAAGAAACCTGCTCTTTCAGTAAAGCCGCTGCTACAATTACAGTCTAATAATTTAACACTCAGGAGCACCATAAAGTAAACAAAAAGGGCTTCATTCTTAGTTTTGCAAATGGTCCAGAAAAGCCATTTACTGCCATTACAAAAGTTAGCTCATTTTGGTGCTGTTAACATGTGCGGGAAGGATGGGACTTGCTTCAAATTGCAATTTCATTTTACAGCTGTACTAACAAAACCCCATAAAAAGTGGGGAATTTGTCCCCATGGTTTCCCTAGGATTTTCCCTCTCCGTAAGGAAACGGGTGGGGGACTCCCCCAACCCAATGAAACCTTGCAACTGTCAAATTAATAGGCCCCCATTGAAGTCTAACATCAGAAATTCATGGTCTATAGAAGCCATTATGGGCCAGATCTCTGTTTCCAAGCCATTCCTGTTAATAACCCCACCTAATTAAAACATCTGTAAAGCCCTGGTAGTTCTAATTTGTGCATAAAAATTGAAAAACAACCCTGGCCTCTATTAATGGGCTGGCAGAAGTTCAGCCATGAATATGATTATGAATGGTAGGAGTGCTTTAAATTAAGAATCGCTAATTAAGATGCAGCCCGGCTGTACTTAATTGGATCAGGAGGAGGAAAGTGGCTAGGCATGGTAAGTAACCTAAACAAAATCCCTTGATATTTTGCAATTTAGACTTCCAGTAAATGATAGCTTGTGGTACCGTTTACCATGTCGCTTTAAAAAAAACACACCACACACGTTACCATGAAGTGGTTTAAATGTGGTTGGTGATGTTTGGATTGATCAAAAACTTTGTTTAGGTGAACGGCGAACCTTGGCTGCTTTTGGACTCTGGCAAACATGCAAACTCAGTTATTGACCAGCACTGTACTGTTGACACACACACTTATCACTCAGAGCTCAGAAACAACACCTGAGAATTCCCCTGCTCATAGCATCAGTGTGGGAAGGAGGAAGGGAAGAGAGAGGCCAGTCCACTCATGCCTCACTGTTTTTTAACAAGGCTTGGGCTTAGCGTTTATCTCCTTTTCCGTTCAAATGTCATGCCGCAGGAATAACTGAGCTATGCATTCTGCAAAAGCGCAGAAGGTGCCACGCTAGACAGCAGACAAGGGGGGGGGGACATCTATTTGAGCTCTCTCTGCAGTGAAAAGAACAAGAAAACTGGCATGCCAGGCAGGGTGAAGGCTAGGCTACGACTCTTCTCTGTGATTCCTATGCACAGGAAGCTACCCTTCCGGGGAGAGCATTCAAATGTGATCGCTTGGTGTGGTCCAGCAAGAGCTCCCCAAGCAAGTCTGGGCTCTGCTGAGGATGCCGCCGGATGTTTCAGCCTTTGGCATGAGATGCTGATGTGTAACTCTTGCAGGCTTCTTCACAGGAGATGTCGGAGGATGTGGTCTACAGCATGGGGAAAGCTCTCACAAGTTAAGTACGGAGGAGGAGTAATTTTGCCTTCATCCCCCTCTCGGTATTTCCCTGTAACAAAAGCAGAGAGAAAACGCTCTGTCTCAACACCTGGTTTGCATTGGCATAACATCTATGCATTATAATCGTTCCCAACTATGCCCACTCGACCTCTTTGCTCTGCAGAACTGGTGGTGTTACAGGTGCCGCGATACTTGCTCTGCACTTGTAAGGAATCCGTCTTTTCTTGTGGCAGCACACACTTCGGAACTCCTTGACTACTGAAATCAGGCAGCCCCCCCCCTTTTAGCACCTTCTAAAAACAGTTTAAACAAACCTGCCCAGATATGTAGAATGTTGCCATATGTCTTAATCTGATTTTTAGCTTAATTGTAGATTTTAGTTACCGTATTTTTCGCTCCATAAGACACACCTAGTTTTTAGAGGAGGAAAACAAGAAACAAGAAAGCAATGCAAAGCCTCCTGAGCGAAGAGGGAGGAGCGCTCCTGCTACGCTCAAGAGGCTTTGCGTGGCTATCCCTGAAGCCAGAAGAGCAAGAGGTATCAGTGCGCACCGATCCCTCTTGCTCTTCTGGCTTCAGCGATAGCTGCGCAGCCTGCATTCGCTCCATAAGACGCACACACATTTCCCCTTACTTTTTAGGAGGGGAAAAGTGCGTCTTATAGAGCGAAAAATATGGTATTTGTTTGAACGTTTTAAATAGTTATTTTAACTTTTTTGAAAAAGAAAAAAATCAAACCACTTTGAGCTCTCCGGTGGTATATAAATCTTGTGAAATAAATAAGTGGCCCATAACACGGTTAATAACAGTCCATGACAGGATAACCTGTGGCATGCTTAGCACCTACCAAAGATGAGTGTCTACATCTCCCCATTTAAAACTTTTACCTTTATGCAGAAGGCTAGATCCTGCACACGCATGCATCCCTCTGGCCTCCACCCAGACAAGCAAGAGGCACGGTGAGATGGTGCTTACCTGTCTTCACCAGTATTCCCAGCATCCCAGCATTCTGGGCACCTCCCACGTCATCCCTGCAGTCCTGCCAAGGCACAGGGGAACAAAAATGTTAGGCCTGCTTGGTTCCCGGAGACTCCATCTTGAAGGCGGGTTAACATGCTCAGGCACTCACGTCGCCAATCATGACGGCTTCCTCTGGCCTGCAGCCGGTACCACGCAAGGCTTCCAGGAAGAACGTCTGCTCAGGCTTCCCCACCACGGTGGCTTCCACGTCGGCTGCGTATTCCAGCCCCGTGACGAAAGGTCCAGGACCGAGAGTGAGCCCGTCTTTCCTCTTGTAATACCTGGCTTTGTGTATAGCTATGAGGGGAGCGCCATCGAGGATCAGTCTTGAGAAAGGAAGGGGTGGGAGGAAAATAAGAATGTAAGTGGAGCCTCCTGGATCAGGCCAATGGTTCTCACAGTGGCCAACGGGATGCCGTGTCATTTTTTTTAGTTTTAATTCTTTTACCAACCACCAAAACACAAACACTGAAAACAAACTGTGAAACCCCGCAGGCAGCTGATACATTGGGTATACATAATCAACAATAACATACTCAAATCAACCATGTGTACAATTCTATATACCTTAACATTCCTCCCTCCACAAGGTTTATTTAACTTTTAACATTTTAATTGCCCCAAATTGTTCAAACCTGCCCAAATAATTCAGTATCTTCTCAAACCAATCCTCCTCCTCCTCACTGACCTTAAACCCTTTCATTTTATGTTTCTTCACAGTTAGATATTCTAAGATTATCATATTTTTCAATTTTTCCCTCCATTGGTTCACCCCTAGTTCTTCTGCATTTTTCCAGTTACTCGCTATAACCTGTCTGGCTGCAATTACCATCAATTTTACCCATTTACATTCCTCTTTTGTTTCTAACTCGGTGCTACCTGGGCTAATAAGAACCATTGTTTTAGATATTTCCACCTTCCTACCCACAATTCCCGATATTTCTATACCAATCTGTTTCCAGAATTCATTAACTAACGGACAATCCGGGATACCCTGTCATTTGAGAAGGGCAGGGAAAGTTCTTGCCAGCTGGTTTGAGAGAGCACTTGGCAAAGTCCTCTCTGGCTGGGCCTCTTCTCTTTATATTATTTATTAGCAAAAATGTCCCGGGAGGGTGTGTTGAGTGGGGAAAGCCCTAAGGGCCTGGTGGAGAGGTTCTAAGCCTCAGGTTTCCCCATCAATGCCATAACAGATAGCAAAGTCCTTCCCTACTTGAAGGACAACAGTGTGACTCATTGTGATCTGAAAGCCCCTGGAGACGCAGGAATTCCACCTGGTACCACCAAGCCCTGTTGTCATCCTCCCGGTAATAAAAAGAAGCCTTGGGACAGTATCGTCATAAAGTTATCTGGAGGTGTGCTATGTGACAGGTAGAAACTGGGCTTGTGCCAAATGTTAATTGCCTGGTGGGGGCTAAAGGAAGTCGTTTCTTGTAAAGAAACTCTTTGTCACGTCCTTCCGACTTACCGAAATGCTTTGTTCATCGTTTGGTAATTGAAGTGGTCAGGAGCAAGCCCTATCACCACAGCATTGGGCTCGCCTGTATCGATCCCTGGGGAAAAAAAGAGGACAGCCAAATAGCTCACCTTACATTGACTTAGTGCGCACCCCAGAAATTATCTCTTTCAGCTTTTGCCTTCTGGAAGAAGGTAAAGGTAAAGGGACCCCTGACCATTCGGTCCAGTCGTGGCCAACTCTGGGGTTGCGGCGCTCATCTCGCTTTACTGGCCGAGGGAGCCGGCGTACAGCTTCCGGGTCATGTGGCCAGCATGACTAAGCCGCTTCTGGCGAACCAGAGCAGCGCACGGAAACGCTGTTTACCTTCCCGCAGGAGCGGTACCTATTTATCTACTTGCACTTTGACGTGCTTTCGAACTGCTAGGTTGGCAGGAGCAGGGACCGAGCAATGGGAGCTCACCCCGTCGCGAGGATTCGAACCGCCAACCTTCTGATCGGCAAGTCCTAGGCTCTGTGGTTCAACCCACAGGTTATAAAGACTAGGACTAGCCACCTGAGAAACAGTTTCTACCCAAATGCAATTCTGGTTTTAAACGCAGTATAAGGTGTCTCTATAGGAGTATATTGTATTTTAAAATGGGGTTTCAGAGTTTTTAGGGGTTTTTGAATGTCTTATGTAGATTTTTCAATTTCATTGTTCTGTATGGGACAATTACAATAAAGATATCGTATCGTTACTGATACAATTGCTTTGGCATGAAATCTTCAGGTGGCAGAAGAGAAAGGGACCCAAGGCCGCTGTGCTGATTCTGCTGAATTTTGCAGCTAGAACTTTTTGCCTCTTTGCCACTGCTGTCTCTGAACTTTTCCCACTGAAGTTGGGCATTATAAGAACTTTGCAGCTTTAAGAACGGGTTGCCTGAGCTTCCTCCTCCCTCCTCGCTTTTGTGTCATGTGTTGTAGTTTGCAGACCTGAGGGCAGGGGCTGTTATGGATCTGCAAGCCTCTTTAGCTGAATAGCAGAGGGACAATGCCTTCAATGGTCAAACGTTAGAGATGGCAGCTGTTCAAACTGGGCATGGGGAACATGAGCGGTATCCAACTAACTTGTTCCATCAGCACGAGGGTTTCTGTTTGAGAATGAAATACCCCCCACCTCCAGCTGCACACCTCTTAAATCTGTTTCTTTGGGGGGGGGGGCTGCCCCAATCCTCTGGAGCAGATGTGGGGAGGGTGCAGGACACATAAAGGGGATCAGAGGAAAATTTCTATTGCAGAAGCTAACGGAAGGAGGGCATCGGTTGCTGATCAGATGGCCCCACAATGCCCTCCCCAACATTATTACAAAACAAAAACGCAGCAACTGAAAAGCAAGCTGGTGTGGATTTCGCTTGCAACTTTCTCTGGGAGCATCTGGGTCCATTAACCAAAGAATGGATTACACTCATCCATCTGCGAGCAATCTTATATGAAGATTATCCAAGAATAATTCCATAGTAGTTACTAACAGGAGCTTAAACATCTTTCAGCGTACTTAAACTACTGAAAACCGGAGTTTTAAAAAAAACCCCAACCACTAGAAATGGAGGGAAGAGCGAGGCAGAAAACCCGCAGAAGTGTGCATCAGAGCTGACCGAAAGCACAGAGGGGAGGGACTTTTGGGAGGGTTGGGCAAGGGCCACATTCCACCTTGGCCAGCTTTCTGGGGGCCGCCTGCTGGTGGTAGGCAGGGCCAATGCAAGAGGAAGTGTACCCAAGCTGTGCTCTGACACACACTCACGTTCTGCCCAGGAATGAGTCTGGGAGGGGAAGCATGTAAGCATTTTGTAAGCCTAATTGCCGGGGTGGGGTGGGGTGGATGTGATCTTTGTGAATACTGCAGCTGGGCAGGATTAACACTTCCCTCCTTAGCCTCCATCCCCCTGTGCAGCAAATTAAGCTTGCAGCAGGATATGTCCCTTTAATTGGCACCCAAAGGATTGAATGGGGTCACAGGGGGAGGAGCTATGAGCCTATCTGCCAAGACAGGCGCTGCCACAGCTGAAAGCAGATGCATAAGAAACCCCACAGATCTGGAACTTCAGATGGAGTCAAGCTATTGCATTGCCAAACTATGAAGTCCAAATTAAGCTTTAGACAGGCAGCAAAAGCAGGAGGAGAAAAAGAAGAAGAAACCCTCAATTAAGCTTTAAATAAAGCAAACAAACAATATAAGCCATCTCGTCATGGACATAGAGGGTTTATGGGTCGTACGGATTTCGCTGAACGATGCAAACGATCCATTAAGCGATCAGAATATAGTATACGTGTTTTCTGTGCTCTACTTTAATTAAAGTCTGCCGTACAGAAAGCTAATTCTGCTCGAGTCTTGTAATGGTCTGCTGCAGTTCCTAAAGCGACTGTGTATCTCTTGCAGGACAGATAGCAGACTCTCCCAGTGAAATGAGGGCTTCTCTGGGCAAGTCTGCGCGGTTCCTGGCAATCAACACACAACCACTCGGGGAATGTCATGGACTGGCTGGATGCAGAGGAGACACCAGCCAGGGAACCTCCAGGAGAAGAAGACTCAGAGCCTGGGTTGTGGTGGTGGAACAGTGATGGATAGTCAGGGGGAGAAGAGGGAGAAGGCTGGGAGGAGGAGGTAGCAGAAGCTGAAGAAGTGACAGCAGGGGTCAGTAAACTTTTTCAGCAGAGGGCCGGTCCACTGTCCCTCAGACCTTGTGGGGGCCGGACTATATTTCAAAAAATAATAATGAACAAATTCCTATGCCCCACAAATAACCCAGAGATGCATTTAAAATAAAAGTACACATTCTACTTATGTAAAAACACACTGGTTCCCAGACTGTCCGCGGGCCGGATTTAGAAGGCGATTGAGCCAGATCTGGCCCCTGGGTCTTAGTTTGCCTACCCATGAGTGACTGGGTTTAGTGAGCAGGAAGAGGCTGTGGCAGAGAGCAGTTCAGAATCAGAGGCAGGAGCGAAGGCAGGAGAGGAAGGGGCCAAGAGGCAGATATCAGGCAGGCTGCTGAAGACACCAGGGAGTCTCCCCCTCCTGCTGCAACCAGCTCCCTTCCCCCTGGTCTCCTGGAACCCTCAGAGAAATAAAACAGGCAGAGCCGAGGTAGTTGTTCGTAGACACAGCCTGTGACTATGTGGGAAAGACCCTGGAGAGAAGGAGTCCTAGGGGCAAGGCAGGGACCTTCAGTCCTCACAACAGTTTCATCAGGATGAGGCCTCCTAGAAAGGGTTGCTGAGACCACTAGGCCTGAGCCCTGGTTTGTTTCCTTGAATAAAGAGCTAAGTTCACTGGCCTCGGTCAACAGATCCTACTGTTCACGTATCAGGGATGAGGGCCGCTATTCAGTCTGAGGGCCGCATTTCATTCTGGGAAACATTTCGGGGGCCACATGCCAGGTCGTGGGCGGGGCCAGAGACAAAAGTGGGTGGAGCAACAAATGTATAAACGTTACCTTTATCCAACAGGATCACAGTCACACCATACAGTGGATGCATTATAATACCACTTTAAGTTTGTCAAAGTGTTAAGGGTGCTGACCTCACAGAGCTACGGTACCCAGGTCCCTTAGCAAACTACAGTTCCCAGCAAATTGGCGCCAGGACACTATACCTTTGAAATCATGCAGTGCGTTGTCTTCGACAAGCAGCAGGGGCCTGACTTGCTTCTGCTCCAAGAGATTTCTGGCTGCCGTCAGAGACGTGAAGATCTCGTCCTCCTTGATGTCGAACTCGAGTTTCCTCAGCCTCTCCAGCAAATCTCGCTTGCACTCCTTTGTCGTATTGGTCACAAACCGGATGGAAACTGGAGCACTGCGCAGCCTTGACCCGTGAAAAACAGGGTAAGCAGTTTAGGACGCTGCCGTTTTTGGAACCCACGGCAAAAAACATGTTTTTGTTCTTGCATTCATGGAATAGCTTCATCAGAAGATAACATGAGCGCATTATCACAAGCAGGGCTGCCAAGCGGAAGTGCTAAGAAGATTACTCCTGGATCTTTGGAGTTTAACAGAAAGAGAAATCCCACCTGAGACCAATCCCTATGCTTTTTGATCACTCAAGCTTGAATCCAATGTCCAAGCGTAATGGGCGTGGGGCAGGAGGGAAAGTTTGGTTTCACACATATGACATTCTAATGTTGCCAGGTGCATGCCAGGGACTGGCAAGACACTGCAGAGTGTGCACCAGGAAAAGTGAGGGCTGGATTCTGGTTCAGGAGAGGGGGACAGTGGATTATGGGGAACTCTGCCAGCCAGGAAGCAAGAGTCGGAGGCTGGATGATGGGGCGCAGGATGGGTAGGAAGAAAGGAAGAAGAGGCAGGTCCAGCTGGGTGCTTCCCTACCCTCTCCTGCACCACTGTCTCCCAGAACCAGGAAGGGACTGAAAAGGGAAGAGCAGAGGCAGCTTGCATGCAGAGGCATAGTCTCCAGCAGGCATGCATGCAGCCCTTTGGGGGAAGGCACATGAACTGGTGGAGGAGTGGTCCCCTGCTGCTGCAACTGCTCTATAGGGTGCAGACCTGGGGATAGCTGCCTAGACATAAGACTATGGAGCTGTAGGAATTACTGTGTGGTGTAGTGGTTAAGAGTGGTGGACTCGTAATCTGATGAACCGGGTTCGCTTCCTGGCAAATTATTAATTATTATTATTCCCCGCTCCTCCACATGCAGCTGCTGGGTGACCTTGGGCCAGTCACACTTCTCTGAAGTCTCTCAGCCTCACTCACCTCACAGAGTGTTTGTTGTGGGAGAGGAAGGGAAAGGAGAATGTTAGCCGCTTTGAGACTCCTCAGGGTAGTGAAATCAGCCCTGAGTGCTCACTAGGACAGATCCTAAAGCTTAGGCTCCAATACTTTGGTCACCTCGTGAGAAGAGAAGACTCCTTGGAAAAGACCCTGATGTTGGAAAAGACCTTTTCCTTGCCCAATAAGCAGCCTTTGTGAAAACGGCCTTTTTACATGTTTGTTTTCTGTTCTTTTTGGGGTGCCTGGAAGGGATAACTTGCCTTTTAAGAGCTTCCTGGGCCCCTGGAACAGCCGAGTCTTCAATATGAAGTGTTCCACTGAGATCCACCAGGACTGCCTTTAGCGCACGCCGGGCTGCCATCCTTCGCACTGCCAGGAGAGGGAAGGAAGATTAAACAACCAAAGAGTTAGATAACAATGGACAATTAAAAAGGCACTCTGTTATCTGTTCCATTTGTGCCAAGCCTAGTAATATTTAGAGAGCATTACCCAGCATGTTGAATGAGCCCCTTTGGACAGGGAAGTAAGAGGCAACATTAAAAATATATATACATAATTGATAGAACAAGCAATTTCTCCCATTCGCTGCCCACACAGAAACCACCTTTTTCAACTTTTAAATTCCACAAGCGTACTCGCACCAGAGAGAAACGGCACATCCAGCTTGGATTTTAAAAATACAGGCTATCTTATCTCAAGTCTTTTTAGTTTTTATATTTTTACCTGCTGCATGGAACAGAGGTGCGGTGCCAACCGCAGCAGCATGACACAATTAAAAAGCAATTAGGCGCGTGCCCCCCTCCCTTCATTGGAAGAATTTTGCAAAGCATTCCAAGCCAAATATTGTTCTGTTTCCGTAGGTGGAGTGTCAGATGCACAGATGGAGAAGGGAGAGCCACGCGATGCGACAGGACCAGCAATAGGGCCCAAGAGTCCAATCTGAACACAGCAGGTGTTGGACAGAAGGCTGTCCGTATCTTGCTTCAGGGAATGCAAAGTGCCCATATTAGGAACTGTCCCCAAAGCACAGGAAATCGGGGGAGAGAGATGCCTTTTATCTGTGCAACTGCGGGGCTGTTTCAGATGGGTGTATCATGCTCAATGTGGATGTTTCACACTTTAGAATGTACCATATTTTTCACTCTATAGGATGCAGTTTCCCCCCTCCAAAAATGAAGGGGAAATGTGTGTGCGTCCTATGGAGCGAATGCAGGGTCCTTGGCTTCAGCGATACCAATGCGTAGCCTCCGAAGTGCAGTGGGAGCGCTCCCTCCGCACTCCGGAGGCTTTGCATTGCTTTCGCTGAAGCCTGGAGAGCGAGAGGGGTCGGTGCGCACCGACCCCTCTCACTCTCCAGGCTTCAGGCAGCTATCCACAAGCCTTCGGAGCGCAGCAGGAGTTCCCCCCACGCTCCGAAGGCTTGTGGATAGCAGCCTGCAGCCTGAAGTCCGGGGAGTGCAGCGCCAACTCCCGCTGCGCTCCCCGGGCTTCAGGCAGCTATCCACAAGCCTTTGGAGTGCGCCCCCAGCCCCGCAAGCTCCGGGAGCGGCGGCAAGGCTGCGTGTAACCTTGCCGCTGCTCCCGGACCTGTTCTGGGGGTTAGGGTCGGGGGAAGCTCGGGCTTCCCCCGCCCCAGCCCCGCGGCTAAAAACGAAGCCGCGCGCAGCCTCTCCCGGCTGGAGAGGTTGCACGCGGCTAAAGAGGAAGCCAAGACAGCCAGCGGGATGGATCCCACTCGCTGTCTTGCCTTCTTTGCTCTTTGGGGCTGGGGAGGGGAAATAATTCCCCCCCCCTTTATTTCCCCCCCTAAAAACTAGGTGCGCCCTATAGTCTGGTGCACCCTATGGAGCGAAAAATACAGTAAGCGGAGAGTGCTAGATCAGGCCAATGGCCCATCTAGTCCGGCATCCTGTTCTCACAGCGGCCAGCCCAATGCTTCTGGGAAACCAGCAAGCAGAACGTAAGCACAAGAGCCCTCTCCCCTCCTGTGGTTTGCGGTGGCTGCTGTTCAGAAGCATTGCTTCCTCCAGATGTGGAGACCAAGCACAGCCATCATGGCTAGCAGCCATTGATAGACTTCTCCTCCTCAAGGAACCACTTCCATGTAGCAAAACCTACAATATAATGATGCAACCCATCACTTGAGCCTGCCGGCTATTTCTTAATCGCAGGGTTGTGGATTCGAGCCCTACGTTGAGCAAAAGGTTCCTGCATTGCTGCGGGTTAGACCAGATCAGGCCTAGGCAAACTCCGGCCCTCCAGATGTTTGGGACTACAATTCCCATCATCACTAGCTAACAGGACCAGTGGTCAGGGATGATGGGAATTGTAGTCCCCAACATCTGGAGGGCCGGAGTTTGCCTATGCCTGGACTAGATGAACCTTGTGTTCCCTTGCCTATTCTCTACTCGTCCAGACACTTCTAACGAGATCGTAAGCGCATTTTGCATGGTGGTTCCTGAGACGAAGGAGCAGGCTCGCATCCATGCCTGGATACAACTGTTTTGAATCAAGATGGCAGACTGAACCTTTCAAAACCGCACCCATTTTTTGGTTTCTTGCAAATTGCTTAGCTGCAGTAGGTGTGAAGCTGCTGGTCATTTATGCGCATTTATGGCCCTACCCTAAACATGTGGCTCCAGGAGCTCAACACAAGAAGTAGACTATGTGTAACATACTCATTACTGGACCAAAAATTAAACTGAATCAACAGCAGTCAGAAACGGCAACGCACTGGAGAGGTGGGAATATTCTGATCTTATCCTCCACTCGCAAAGGCCTCTGGGAAAAGGGCACAACTCAGAAGGGAGGTCATTCCACAACGTGGGGGCCACTGTAGAGAAGGACTGCCACCCAGCAAACTAGGCAGGATCCTGATGGTGATAAAGGAGCTGAGAATCGTAGGGTGCTCTGCTACATGGTGGAAATGATCAGAGGCTCTGAGAGATCTGCATTGGCTCCCAGTATGTTTCTGAGCACAATTCCAAGTGTTGGTGCTGACCATTAAAGCCCTAAACGGCCTCGGTCCAGTATACTTGAAGGAGCATCTCCACCCCCATCGTTCAGCCAGGACACTGAGATCCAGTGCCGAGGGCCTTCTGGTGGTTCCCTCATTGCGAGAAGTGAGGTTACAGGGAACCAGGCAGAGGGCCTTCTCGGTAGTGGCGCCCGCCCTGTGGAACACCCTCCCTTCAGATGTGAAGGAAATAAGCAGCTATCCTATCTTTAAAAGACATCTGAAGGCAGCCCTGTTCAGGGAAGTTTTCAATATTTAATGCTGTACTGTTTTTAACATTTGATTGGGAGCCACCCAGAGTGGCTGGGGAAACTCAGCCAGATGGGCGGGGTATAATAATAATAATAATAATAATAATAATAATAATAATAATAAATAACACAATACAAGCTATCAATAATGGCACCTCTAGGAAAAAGAAATCTTTGGCTTCCTCCTACAGCTGCATGCAGGGGAGCACTATTAGAATGAAGAAACAGCTCTTTAGGAAAAATGACAGAACGGTTCCTCTAATCCCACGGGAATCAATGAGGCTCCTCTGGTATATTACATTATATTACACTTTTGTTCCGTCCTTCCTTCCAAGAGTAAGTGCAGATGGTGGTATCTTATCCTCACACCAAGGTCATCTAGAAAGCTTTATGGCCAACACCCTAACCACTACACCAGACTGCTCCCCCCCCCCTTCTCAACAGCCCAAAGGAACAAGCTTTGGGATTTCTTTTTCCAGACTGCAAACTCCGTGACCAGCACGGACTAGCCTCCGGGAATTTTAAACATTTATCAGCACTTTCCTATCGAGCAGTTTTGAGATCATCAGGTGCCATCGCAGGTTTTTATCTAATCGGAAAAGAAGGCGCACTCCTCTTTCCCAGAGATAAAGCCAGCCACTAAAAGGTGTTTCAAGGTACATACCTGCAGAGTCTGCTTTTTATCACCTGCAAAAGAACTCTTTTTATCGAAGAAATATAAACTTATCTGCAGGTGGACCAAGGTCACACATCTGCTGTAAAAAAGAAAAGAAAAGCTGATTAAGTTCAAGGATTATACGTAGAATCACAGAATTGTAGGGTTAGAAAGGATCCTGAGGATCATCTAGTCCAGCCCCCTTGCAATGCAGGAATCTCAACTAAAGCATCCATGACAGATGTCAAGGTTTTGACTTTAAAACCCTTTGTGGCTTAGGGCCCTTGTATTTATGGGACCGCCTCTCCTGCAGAGGACCTTAAGGTCCATGAATAATCATAGTTTAGAGGTCCCGGGCCCTAAGGAAGTCAGATTATCCTCCACCAGGGCCAGGGCCTTCTCAGCGATGGCTCCGACCTGGTGGAATTCCCATGGAAACAGGGCACTGCAGGATTTAACTTCCTTCCGCAGGGCCTGTAAGACAGAGCTATTCCGCCTGGCTTTCAATTTGAACTTAGCTTGATCTTTCATTCCCCTTCCTTCCCTCCCTCTCCCCTTTTTATGAAGACTACCCGCTCTGGGATCCCACAGCTAATTCTCCCCTGGTCTTTCACCGGCCCAAATAGGACTAATTTAGCCAGCTAGCCCTGGTAATCATCTAATGTTTATTGGATGTATTTTCCACCTAAATTGATTTTTTAATTCTGAATTTATTGTTATTCACGTTTTATGCTGTAGTTTATGCTGTTTTTTGTTGCATCAATTAAGTGTTTTAAATTTGTTGTTAGCTGCCCCGAGCCTGGTTTTCTGCACCGGGAAGGGCTGGGTATAAATAAATATTATTATTATTATTATTATTATTATTATTATTATTATTATTTCCACTCAACCTCTGCTTAAAAACATGCTGTGAAGGAGAGTCCACCACCTTCTTAGGAAGTCCATTCCACTGTCAAGCAGCTGCCAGAATAAATTAGAATTTCTTTTTAGTGTCATTGGTTAGTCATGGGAGTAAGGTCAAAGGTTTCAGTCTTGCAAATGTCATACAGTGGTACCTCAGGTTAAGTACTTAATTCATTCCGGAGGTCCGTTCTTAACCTGAAACTGTTCTTAACCTGAAGCACCACTTTAGCTAATGGGGCCTCCTGCTGCCGCCGCGCCGCCGGAGCACAATTTCTGTTCTCATCCTGAAGCAAGATTCTTAACCTGAAACAATATTTCTGGGTTAGCGGAGTTTGTAACCTGAAGCGTATATAACCTGAGATACCAATGTACTTCAGAATCCGCTCCTTGTTGCAGAAATGTCTCACCAACCCGCAATTGTGATAAAGTCAAGGCTGTGAGTGACTGGTTCCACCCCAACACCACCCACCCACATACACAAAACAGCCCAAACTCTTCAGTGAAACAACCTATGCTTTGCATCAGGCTCTCTGTAGCAAATAAGGAAAATTGGTGTGACATTGGCAACCTTAGCAAGAGACAGAGGGAATCCTACACACCCATGCAGAGAAAAAGCAGAAAATGCCCCACTCCCAGCACAGCTTGGAAGGAGGAGGAGCCAGAACAGGGACTCTTCCCGAGTTGCAGCAGGCAGCCTCCTCTCACAAAGGCTCACAAGAGACTTTAATTCAAGATGATTTAGGGCAGGGTTTCCCAACCTTGGGTCTTCAGCTGTTTTTGGACTACAGCTCCCATGATCCCTAGCTAGCAGGACCAGCGGTCAGGGATGATGGGGATTGTAGTCCAAAACCAGCTGGAGACCCAAGGTTGGGAAACCCTGATTTAGGGCATTTATTGTCCACCACCAGCTCACCCCACCTTCAGGAAAAAAGCGCTCCTCACCTGGCGTGCCTCACACCCACGTCTCAAGGTGAGGAAATCAGCGAGAGAAGAGGGGAATTTACCAACGTTTTAACGTCTCCCTCCCTCTCCCATGAGATGGACCTGTCCTTCCAGCTAAGAGGACCGCATCGCGGGTTGGTCCATTGCCAGCCGAGAGGGTGAGTTTCTGTCCTCCCCTTTTTCCTGCACAATTGGTACCGCCCTCGCCCTTAGTCGCCACGGGAGTTGGGCCGTACCATGACGGCAAACGGGGAGGGGGGTTCACAATTCCCTCCCTCTGTTCGAATGACCTGACGCTGGAGCGACGCGGCTCAGCAGCAAGAGGTGGAGGAGGGCGGGGCTTCAAAAGCGGAAGACCTCTCTGCGTAAGGACCCAGGCAGGCCCCGGCAGGTGGCTAAAACGAACGCCTGTGTGCCTTTGTTTCGTTTCAGTTCCGCACCTCCCCAACATATATTCCTGAAGAACACAGTTATATGTCTCCCCACTAGACGCTCCCGCTTTTAACATTTCGGTCAGATTTTGACATTAGCAAACAGGCACTCTGATAGTCACCCTTTGCCTCTTTTTTGCGGTGTCTTGCAAGCGGATGGGACAGAGCCAGTCTGCTGAAACTGGCATAATGTAATGAACTTGGGAGACTCCAGCATGTCAGAATGCACTGGATCGGGGCGGCGGAAGATAAAGGACCAAGCAGCAAATGAAGGCTATAGCCACCTTTCTAGTTCAGCAGAAAATGCGTTCCTGTTGAACTTCTGCCCGTCTTTGTAGCAATCCAAATTTCCCAAAGGGTAAAGTGGGATGCTGCACTTTTAACACAAGCAGAGAGACTAGCCAGAACGTATAAAGGGTACAGAAAGCTCTGTGCTCTCTTGTATTGGATCACCCTAACAGCCAGGAGCAGTTCGCCTTAGGCAGCACAAGAGAAGTGGGAATTAAGGTTCGCCTGTTGAACTTCTTACCATTCAGCTGCTAAAAGCACAGTGTGGGTGCGTGGAGCAAATGCCAGTGCCCAAAGCTTTACTGCAGAGAGCAAATGTGAGTGGCTTTCAGAGTTTACCTCCTCCCTTTCTGGCATCCTCCCCCAAACAGTTTTTTTCCAAAAGCTGCATACTTGCAAGCAAGAGATGGCTTCTCACAAACTAAACTTTTTATTTATTTCTGAAAAAGTACCACGGTCCAGGATCTATACTCAAAACAAGGATTCTTTAGCAAAAGAGGCAAGTTCCCCTAAGAAACTCCTATTGTTGTAATATGGATAAGTATTTAATAAAGGGTGCGTGCACAAGATTCAGCGCGTAGATTGAGTCCATACGCCTCAACTATCACTATTGGTTATTTTAGTAATACGGATACACATCTTGTTTTTATATTCGTGGCATGCTATTCATCAGTAGAAAGGTTGCCATCAGTCTTGTCTTACAATGTTATTTTGCCATGTATTTGAGCAGTTATGAGCTGTTATCGGGCTATTTCCAAGTGTGTAAAGCTGGGCTAGGACTCCCATCCCACCCACTGAAAGATTACCCAAGGGGCAGCCCCTGACGGAAAGAGGTTATCCACATCTGGTCTTTAGGATTGCTGACATAGACCAATTTAAGAGGAAATGCGATGATTTGTGCAGCTTCTTGTGCAGCAGAAATAGCTCTTTCTCTTTCATGTGTCCTGCCGTCTTCCATAAGGGAGAATTGTTTCTGACTGCCATCTGCCTTCCAACTTCCCCAATGTGGAAAGCTGTGCCATTTATATCACACAACTCAATTCATTTTTCAGACTTACTATGGTGTTCCAAAGCAGCTCACATCACAAAAAGAGAAAGGGGAGTAGAGGGAAGATAGACAATATTGGAAAAATAAAATCAAATACTGTACTTAAAATTGGGGGGGACGGGACATGGTTGTAATCCAGCCAAAATTGAACAGTTATGTTCCTTTAATTTCAGGGGCAGATTTTTTTGTTATTTTAATAATAATAATAATTTTTTATTTATACCCCGCCCTCCCCAGCCAAGGCCGGGCTCAGAGCGGCTTACAAGCAATAATAAAAACAAGAAGAATGATTACAACTTAAAAACAAAAATAAAATACATTAAAATAATGGAACATTAAAATATAGCCTCATTGCAGGAGAAGGAAAAGAAAAAAGAAAGAGAGGGAGGGAGGGAATCAAATTGGCTCCAAGCCAAAGGCCAGGCGGAACAACTCTGTCTTACAGGCCCTGCGGAAAGAAATCAGATCCTGCAGGGCCCTGGTCTCATAAGGCAGAGCGTTCCACCAGGCCGGAGCCAGAGTTGAAAAGGCCCTGGCTCTGGTTGAAGCCAATCTAACTTCCTTAGGGCCTGGGACCACTAGGGTGTTGTTATTTATGGACCTTGAGGCTCTCCGTGGGGCATACCAGGAGAGACGGTCCCGTAGGTACGAGGGTCCTAGGCCGTGAAGAGCTTTAAAGGTCAAAAGCAGCACCTTAAATCTGACCCTGTACTCCACCGGGAGCCAGTGCAGCTTGAAAAGCACTGAGTGAATATGCTCCCATGGCAAAGACCCCGTGAGGAGCCTCGCTGCAGCATTCTGCACCCGCTGGAGTTTCTGGGTCAGCTTCAAGGGCAGCCCCGCGTAGAGTGAATTACAGTAGTCAAGCCTGGAGGTGACCATCACATGGATCACTGTGGCCAGGTCGGGGCGGGAAAGGTAAGGGACCAACTGCTTGATGCGGCAAAGGTGGAAAAATGTCGCCTTGGCTGTTGCTGTAACTTGCGCCTCCATGGAAAGGGAGGCGTCAAGGATTACACCCAAACTCTTAACGGAGGGCAATGGCACTAATTGGGCCCCCGCAAGAGAAGGGAGTTGGTCCCTCATCCCCATGCCATCCCGACCTAGCCATAGGACCTCTGTCTTCGAAGGATTTAGTTTCAATCGGCTCCCACGAAACCATCCAGCCACAGCTTCCAAGCATCTGGTCAGTGTGTTCGGGGCCGAGTCGGTGTGGCCATCCATCAGCAGATAGAGCTGAGTGTCATCAGCATATTGGTGACAGCCCAGCCCAAAGCTCCGGATAATCTGGGCAAGGGGGCGCATAAAGATGTTAAAAAGCATCGGGGAGAGAATTGCACCCTGCGGCACTCCACACACCAAGGAGTGGCGCGGCGACATTTCCCTCCCTAGTGCCACCCTCTGTCCCCGACCAGAGATAAAAGAGCACAACCAGTTACGGGCTATGCCCTGTATCCCCACGTCTGCGAGGCGGTGGTCCAGAAGATCATTATCGACCATGTCAAAGGCTGCTGACAAATCTAAAAGGATCAGCAGTCCTGACCCGCCTCGATCCAGTTGTCTACGGATATCATCTGTTAGGGCAACCAGAGCCGTCTCCGTCCCAAAACCAGGACGGAAACCAGACTGAAATGGATATAATGCCGATGTTTCCTCCAGAAACCTACCAAGCTGTTCAGCAACCGCTCTCTCAATTACCTTACCCTTTTAACTCTCTCATTTAAATAAATGGATTTCAATGTGCCATATCTTTGGCTTGATCATGCCCTCAAAGAATCTGCAGTCCTGAAACTAACTTAAGATGTGGTAGAATTTGTTTTCCATATCGTTAAGCTTATTGATTTGCGTGCATCTACCATTGACAACTGAACTATACCTGTAGTTCTGCTTCCCCAGGACCAACCAATCCCTTTCTTCCTATGCACTGTACTCATTCAGGAGAGTTACTTCCTTCGGCAACAACCTTCACTGCATCTTTCAAATGGGCAAGAGCTGGTGGAATCCCATCATACATATTGCGACTAATGGGAAAACACTCAGATTTCAGGAAATGTATCTGTTACAATGAATGGACAGATTCCCTATTAGTGTAAATACCAATTGTCAATTAAGTTTTAAGGTCACCAGGGTTATTTTTGTGTAAACATGCAGAGGATTGCTAAAAGCGCTCAGAAGTTAAAAAGAAGAAATTATTTCATTTTGCTCACCAGTTTCCCTTGCTTGCCTGCCTCCCACCCTCCAATGTAGATGATCTGATCATAGTCCCATTTTCTCTAGGATTATCTTTCAATTAAAAGAGAGACAAACAAAAACCTGATTCAGAGTCTTAAATATATGAATCAGGAAAATAGTGCATTTTACTGGGCACATTTCTGTGGTCTGAATTTTAAGTAATATCTGCTTTGAACAGATTTTAATCTCAAACAACCCCTGAAGAGGATTTCTGTTTACATTTTTTCTAAAAAAAAGGAAGTGCAGCCACATTTTTTTAAAAAAAGATTCTTTCCCCCAATATTTAAAAATTCTTTCACCAAAACAGATTACACACAGTATCCACAATTATTTACAATGAAAATCTTGGGAAAGGATAAAGATCCACTGTAAAACATACTAATAAACTGTACTTGCCAAATAAAGTTTTACATGTTTCCATTTCTAGGTCTTATTCTTCTAAGTTTGGCTATACAGCAGTTGCAACATGTCACCAGATTTTGAACTGCTAAGCTTAAAATGTCACTGCTGTGTAAAGATATAAATCATATACTACTGATCAACTATTTAAAAACCTCTAATATGTGCCAGCAACAATATTTCCATTTCTGTGACATTGATATAGTCCATGGGCCATATCTGACCTAGTGGTCTGCAAAGTCTACATCATTCAGTTCTTCAGAAACTGAATGAAAGATCAACTTAAAACACAATCACATCTCAAGTACACCGTTGGAAAAATAAGCCCTGAGCAACAGAGGAGTTAAGAAATAGAATCTTTAAGTACTTACTACAATATGTTACAATAGTACAATAGTAAACATTTGATACTATTAAATGAAAAAAATCTGGTTCTGGTTCAGGATACGTACAGCATGACTGCAGTGATTCCAATCCTCTGGTGTTATGAAGTGGGCTGAATATTAAGGAATACAATAAATAGAAATGGTGTGTTTATTGAAACAGATGTGTTGCTTCCAAAGCAAAGCCAAATTGAATCCTAATGAATAAATTGGTCTGCAGTCTGTATGTTAGAGATACTGGGCAGGTTGATTTGAAGACACCAACTTCAACCAAACAACAAGAGCAGCACAATTGTAACGCTGTTCAGTCCAATTAATGGCACTGCAAAGAAAAACAGAAAGGGTATTACAGTTTCTCAACTAACGACAAACATAATATTGCATTAAGTGGAGAATAAACTTCAAGAACAAGGACATTCAAGATCATTTTCTGCATGCAAGCATAAAGGTAAGGTAAAGGTACCCCTGCCCGTACGGGCCAGTCGTGTCCGACTCTAGGGTTGTGCGCCCATCTCACTTAAGAGGCCGGGGGTCAGCGCTGTCCGAAGACACTTCCGGGTCACGTGGCCAGCATGACAAGCTGCATCTGGCGAGCCAGCGCAGCACACTGAAACGGCGTTTACCCTTCCCGCTAGTAAGCGGTCCCTATTTATCTACTTGCACCCGAGGGTGCTTTCGAACTGCTAGGTTGGCAGGCACTGGGACCGAGCAACGGGAGCGCACCCCGCCGCGGGGATTCGAACCGCTGACCTGACGATCAGCAAGTCCTAGGCGCTGAGGTTTTACCCACAGCGCCACCCTGCGTCCCTGGCATGCAAGCATACAAAACAACAATTTCAGCAATGCATTTTATAAAGCAGGGGTGGAAACCTTTTTGGCGCCACAGGCCAGATCCAGATTCTCTCAGGCCAAATTTGCTTAAAGGAAAAAGCACTTTAATTTGGGATGCCCCTGCGCTCCCATTTCAGCTCAAAATGGTGTGGGAGTGAAGGCAGGGGGTTGCGGTCAGAGAATCTCACATGCTTCAGGGAAACTACAGCACTGAGTGGATGGGATCAGAAAGAAGCAATGATGCTCATAAGATTGACAGGACACAGAGGCAGCAGAGTAGAGAGACATTGGTGTTGCCACCACATTAGTTTCTCATGGTTATAACTTATAAGGCTAGTGAATAAGTTAACAGCCTGATTCTATTAGTCTGCTAGGCAGGATTAAATGCAAAGGTCTTTATCCTGGTTACTGCAACATCATTTGTCCTGGTGTTGCACCAGTACAACCAAACAGTAAGATGCCCAGATGAAGCAACTCAGGACAATTTAAATTAGCCATCATTGTGTAAAAGCCACGGTAATACTAGGTATCTGGGGTACGAAACATAGTAAAACAAATCCACTCACAACAACATATTGCTAAAAATAGCATTATTTTGTGCACCTTACCTCTCATAACTGTTCGTACAGATCGAATAAGGTTCATTAACTGTCCTTTAATTCCTGGCTCTTCTCCAAATCCTCCAATTCCCTGGTCTGTTCCCCAGCCAACTATAATTCAGAAATTTTATTTTTGTTAACTAAACATGCAAATACATAATCTAAATTATCAGTCATATCAACCAAAAATGTATTTTACAAATGCAAGCATTTTAAGCCCAAATATCAATAGCAGACTTCTAACCTTTGTTTCAGTGCCAGAAAGCTCATTTGAAATTATAATTCAGACTGGATACATATTCTAGCAGGCATTTTAACTGCAGTTTGATTTTATAGCTTTGATTGATTTTTACTTTTTGTATAGTATTTCTTATATACTGCTTTAGAGACTATTGTAGTTAAGTGGTGTTTAAATAAATAAATAAAATAAATTTAATGCATCATGAGAGAAGCAAAACCAGCAGAGACCAGAATTTCAGAAAACTAGCATTTCCACCAATGATCCCAGCTAAAATATATGAAGCAAAACCTTCAAAGCACTTCAGCTTTGTGTACTGCCCCTACAATGATTTGCTCAGAGTTTGCCCGGTTTTGTTCCAATGCCTCTCCTTACTGCTTCACTGCCACAATTAACGAGATTACAAGGACCACTGATCTAAACCAGCACTCACAATTAGACTTCATCTGAGCAACCACAAGCCCACATGAAGATGATCTGAAACTAGAATGAGTGAGTTGACAAGCGATTCAAACAATTGTAAGGCGGGGTGGGAAATAGCCAAGGAAAGGGTAATAAAAGTTGTAATTAAACTTTATGTGAAAAGTTCTGTATCAGTCCACTTCAGCCACCTTTATCATTAACGAAAAAAAGCCCCAGCCTACACTGGCTCATTTGGTACAGATGGCATTTCATACTCTTAAAAAAAACAAAAAAACACTACCACTACTTTTCTGCATTACTTTTACATTAACCTTTGAGACTGGGAGGCTAGAACCATTTCTTGATAACTACAGTGCGAGGTGAACTATAGTAGCAGCTCTACTATCAAGTTGCTTACTGAGGGCAACTGTGTTGCACCCAGGGCAATACTGACAACCCACATCTGCTCCTACAGCACAGACAGCTGCACCTGTAGCATGAGTGCCAAAGCATAATACAGTCTGGATAGAGAAGGTTTCCAAAACTTGGGTCTCCAGCTGTTTACGGACTACAATTCCCATCACCCCTGACCAATGGGCGTGCTAGCTAGCGATGATGAGAGCTGTAGTCCAAAATCAGCTGGCAACCCAAGTTTGGGCAAACACTGGGATAGGGGAGGGAGAAGATTCCCCTCTCCCCAATGATTCTGTTATGCTATTTGTGATACAAAAAATAAAATAAAATAAATGCCTTACATAAATAGTTGAATATATATACATTTTACCTGTCAGGCTGGCAACATTCAAACAACAAGTATTATTTACAAATTCCTCCAGACAGCGCCTGCATGTAATCCCCACATATGGATGCTTTAGCTGAGATTCCTGCATTGTAGGAGGTTGCAAGATATGACCCTTGGGATCCCTTCCAACTTTGGAATTCTACGGATCGTAGAGCTGGAAGGAACCCGAGGGTCATCTAGTCCAACCCCCTGCAATGCAGGAAACTCAACATGCGCCCTCCCTCGATCCACTTTGAAAATGATACCAGTCCCTGCTCATCTTTACAGATGCGCTAGAAATCTCTCTTATTGCTGCCCCACTAGGGGAATAATAATAGTAGTAGTAGTAGTAGTAGCCACTCTGGGCGGCTTCCAACAAAATATTAAAATAGTGTACAGTAATGTATCAAACATTAAAAGCTTCCCTAAACAAGGCTGCCTTCAGATGTCTTCTAAGGTCTGGTGGTAGTTGTTCTCTTTGACATCTGGTGGGAGGCCAAGTGCCACTACCGAGTAAAAGTAATAATAATCCTATTCACAGGTTTCTCTGTCTTTGGTGCATTTGGCCGGGCCCCGTGAATAATAATAATACAGTGGTACCTCGCAAGACGAATGCCTCGCAAGACGAAAGGGTTTATTGTTTTTTGAGCTGCTTCGCAAGACGATTTTCCCTATGGGCTTGCTTCGCAAGACGGAAACGTCTTGCAAGTTTGTTTCCTTTTTCTTAACACCGTTAATACAGTTGCGACTTGACTTCGAGGAGCAACTCATAGAATGCGGTGTGGTAGCCTTTTTTGAGGTTTTTTAAGACTTTGGTGATTTTTGAAGCTTTTCCAAAACTTTCCCGACACCGTGCTTCGCAAGACGAAAAAAATCGCAAGACGACAAAACTCGCGGAACGAATTAATTTCGTCTTGCGAGGCACCACTGTAATAATTTTATTTATACCCCGCCCTCCCCAGCCAAAACGGGCGGCTAACAACCAGTAATAAAAACAAGTTGATTAAAATACAACTTTAAAACATTAGGTTGCAGGAGGAGAAAGGAAAAAGAAAGAGGGGGAGGGAATCAAACTGATTCTGAAGCCAGAATGACGGGTAGGAGGGTTCACTGGCCAGATCCATCAGGGCTCTTCTTGTGCCTCCCGAGGCCTAGCCCTGCGCTCTAACCACTACCCCACACTGCCTCTCCCTACGAATGACTCGGCGCTGATCCTTATAATTAACGTTATGGCGACGTCCTAAGGATGCCACGTGGCCCCAGAAGCCCCACCTTCGGCCCGGGCCCTCCGCCTTCCAACCCACAGACTGAGGATGAGGATGAAGCCAGGACCCCCCTCACCCTCCCGCCCCCCTTACGAAGCCTGGCCGACTCACTCCTGCGGAGGAAGCGCTCCTCGTGCAGCACCGCGATGGCGTTGACGAAGAGCAGCGCGGCCTGCAGCAGCGAGTACAGCGTGAACGCCATCGCTGCCGCCGACGCGGCCGGGCGAAGCTCCTTCCTTCCTTCCTTCCTTCTTTTACCTCAGGACGGTGAGGAGATGCAGCGGCAGCAACAGCAGCAGCGCGAGCGCCGCCGTCCACGCGCATGCGCGAGACGTGGCGCCGGACGTAAAAAGAACCCTGAGCGAGCCGACAGAACTACAGCTCCCGTCGTCCCCCTCTTATTGGCCTAAGCCGGCCGGGGCTGATGGGAAACGGAGTCCCACCGCCACCAAAGGCGGACAACCGCCCTGAAGTGACGTCAGAAGAGGCGCGCGGTCTCGTGGTTAGGTTGCTCCTCGCGGAGGAGTCGAAGGGAAGGGCTTGGTTTTCTTTTCCCGCCTTTTCCTCGCCCCTCCCGCTCCGGAGGGGGCGGGGCCAGGAAAGGCGAGGAGGGTCTATAAGGCGGCTGGCGCGGGAGGAGTCATCGCCTCAGGACCCGGGGAGCGCGTTCACACGTGCACGCGCGTCCCTTGAGGGGACTGGTGGTTAACGTCAATAAGCCGCCTCGCGCTTGCTGTGAGGCGGGGCGTGGATATGTTAAGCCTACGAATAAAGACTATTACTATTTCATTACAGTACTTATAAAATGAGTTTGAGGATCATAGGGTGCTTTTACAGTTACAAAAACACAAAAACACATAAGCAAAACAATAATATACACATTTAAATAAATTAATACTCCTTCACAAGCAGTGGCGTAGCGTGGGGGGTGCAGGGGGGGCCGGCCGCACCGGGCGCAACATCTGGGGTTAGGGCAAATCCACAGGTTAGGGGGCGCAAATCCACGGGTTAGGGGGTGCAAATTACTTGCCTTGCCCCGGGTGCTGACAACCCACGCTACGCCACTGTTCACAAGTGCTGGGCCGTGTCCTGTAACATCGCCTTCATTTGCTTTTGTTGCTAGTTTTTTTTGGTACCCTTGTATTAGATCTAATTATGTGGAAATGGCTTAATTTGGCTGTGTACTTTTTGATGTTTTATTTATTGCTTATGATCGCTGTTACGTTTGTAATTATGTATTGTTAAGGTCGTCATAAGCGTTAAAATCTCATGTCCCCTCAGTCCCAGTTCAGCCACGAGTAAACCATACTGTTAACTCTCATCTCATATGCTTCTGAGGGTTTTCTGAGATGAGGGTTTTCTGAGATGAGAGCTTCTGTATATGACCGGTTGATTGTGCATTCATCCTGATCTGTTTTTTTGGCGAGGTTAGATTATTTTTGTCAAAGCAAGTGTTACCCCCACACTTTCACTTTTCATTTTCTTGTCATTTTCCTAATTGTCTGATATTTCAGAGGACTAGGCTTGTTGCACAACAACTCCAGATCAGCTTTAATTGTTGCAACTTGAATTTGCTGGCATGTGATTGAATCCCACTCAACGGTCTTGGAAGCACCCTCAGTGAACTTTGGCCAGCAGTATCAGGCTAATTTATATCACAAGATTATTATGAAGATAAACAGGGGGTGGGGAGAACCATATCTTCTTCTTTGACAATCACTTGTAGCCGGGTAAGATTGTCTTCCATGAACACAGTCTGTAAGTGACTGTGGAGGCCAATTCTGGATCCACACATCCTCCCACAGTGGGGACATAAGTTTCCAGGCAGAAGTCGATCAAGTTGAGGGTTTGCCAAACGTGCCTTCCTCTTAGCATGTTTCTCCCTTTTGTCCTGAGTTCAAGCGTCTTCAAAGCCCATGACACCTTTGGTAAAGGCTGTTCTCCAATTGGAGCGCTCGCAGGCCAGTGTTTCCCAGTTGTCAGTGTTTATACTACATTTTTTTTTTTTTTTAGATTTGCCTTGAGAGAGTCTTTAAACCTTTTTTGTTGACCACCAGCATTACGCTTTCCATTTTTAAGTTCAGAATAGAGTAGTTGCTATGAATGTTAGAATGATGCGGGATACAAAGATAATATGGTATTAGTGATATAGTTGAAAGGTGTATGCAAAAATGGTCAACAGAACAAAGGTGAAGTCAGAACAATATTATGTCAAACTTAAACAAATGAAAAAATGGGGAAAAACTGGAGACATAATAGTGGAAACGTATAATTTGAAATAAGATTTGAGAGAAGGTGAGGTATTGCTGAATAAGATTCTGTAAAAGGGAACGCAGAAAAGGGAGATGTGAGGGAGTCCGGAAAGAGGGTTATGAGAATAATATCTAAGAAATTGGTTTTTTCTTTTTTATGTCTGTTCATGTATTTTTCTCTTGCTTTTCTGATGGGTTTTTCACTGTGTTTTTCTTTCTGATTTTTGAGTGGTGTTTTTTCTTTTTTTCTATTTTGTATTGTGAAGTTTGTTTTACTGTTTGAAACTTTAATAAATATCTTTTTTTTATAAAAAAAAACAGAATAGACTAGTTGCTTTGGAAGACGATCAACAGGCATCCGCACAACATGACCAGTCCAATGAAGTTCATGTTGAAGAATCATCGCATTGACACTCATGATCTTTGCTTCTTCCAGTACACTGGCATTAGTCTTCCCAAATGATGTGTAAAATTTTTCAGAGACACCACTGATGGAATCAGTTGGAGATGGTGTTTATGTGGTCCATGTTTGTCCAGAGATAGCTTTTCTGGGTCATGTGTCAAGCATGACTAAACCATTGCTGGTACAATGTGCCAGAGTGCATGGAAACGCCGTTTACCTTCCCGCCGCAGTCAGGTTGCATACAAGCATACAGTCAGGTTGGACACCTTGGTGGAAATGTGAAATTAAACTGCCTATCAGTTTCTTCAGATTTCTCAATTTTTAGCATTATGAGCCAGAACGTATTTCCCTCCATTAAGCCATTCATAATTTTATAAATGTTTTCAGTGTTTTACCTTAGTCATTGGGTTGTTTGTTTGTCCAAGCCCAAACATGGACATAGCTCTAATCCAAATGATGGCTTAGCTCCAGATAGCATGGTAGCAGGAAGACCAAGAGAGAAGAGATGTAACCACAGTTTTACACTCACACATGGTGTGATCCAGGTCATAGAGAAGGGACTCTAATTCTTGGATCAGTTCGAAAGCACACCAGTGCAAGTAGATAAATAGGTACCGCTGTGACGGGAAGGTAAACGGCATTTCCATGCGCTCTGGCACATTGTACCAGAAGCGGTTCAGTTGTGCTGGACACATGTCCTGGAAAAGCTGTCTCTGAACAAACACAAAAGCTAGATGAGTGCCACACCCCATAGTTGTCTTTGACTGGACTTAACCGTCCAGGGGTCCTTTACCTTTTACTATTACAGCTTTGTAGCTGGTTAATTTCACCATTGTCTCTCTTAATATTTTTCATTTTGCTGCTGATGTAAATAGAGTTTGAAATAGTAATTAAAAAGCTCATCAGGTTCTAATTGTTATTTACCTAAAATGCAGGTGTCAAGATTAATAATTGATTCCAAGCTAAAACAATTATGTATTGTGTTATATCAACTGTGTGTGGCCTCTGGGCACTACTGTAATACAGATAACAAACCAAATAATAACTGGAGCTCAGGGATACTGTACAGCTAGTGATGCATAAATAGACAATTTTTTCTCACTTATGTTTTCCATTTTGATTGGTGGCAGGCTTCTGATTTGCATCATCGCTGTGATTTTATTTCGCAGTAATCATACAGTATATGAACGCCTTAATTCTGAATGGTTGACAGGTTTTATTACCCTATCAGAGCACAATGCCTGGCAATATTGCTGTGCTTTCATAGCAGCTATGAAATCCTTCTCTTTTGAAAGGAAGGCTTGTATAGCAGTGCAAACAGAGGACAAGGACAGTGAAACATGGGCTGCATTGTGTTTTGTGCGAGCAGACTCCTGTGTACTGTACAGGGAACTTGCAACTTGCATGCACTTAACTTTTGCACATTCAGTTTTATGTGCTTGTCAATTTAAAAAATAAAAGAAAATGGGATGGGCATCGGGGGGGGGGGGTAGCTTTGGCAATGCCACCCACCCTTGAACCATTGAAGTTTTGACTATATGTGATTTTGGCTGTAGGCACTATCCCTGAAATGTAACCCCAGCATAAATAGAGAGTTGCCTGTACCATGAACAGGGAAATCACATATTTCGGCGGGGTGTGTGTGTGTGTGTTAAGGTACTTCAAGTGTTTTTGGTATTCTACTTGAACTGTATAATACTTTTGCTCCCGGAGTTTTTTCCTAAGTGACAATAAGCATGTCTTTTGCCCAGTTTTGCAGCATTAAAGTGCATGCATGGTCCAGTGTCATACGATTAAGGACCACCCGAGACTGCAAGTTTTATTATGCGTGATTTCTGCAGCGTGCGTTGTACCAGTGGTGGATTTCTTCTGATTTAGTTTGTTCTGCTTCTCCAATTCTACCCTATCATTGATGCAGAGGGGCTATAGTGTAACAAAATCAGGGCGGGTAGTGGTGGTGGCCGGGATAAACCAGAACATTTGTTGTACAAAATGTCATGGGATTTCAGCAGGATGTTATGAGATCTGCACTGACTGTAAATGAAACAGGATGAGCGCCCCGAAAACCTGTGCAGATGCTGCTCCAACAGGATGAAGAGTACACATCTGAGCTAGAGGGGCTCTGACTCTATAACAGAGACCCATTTTCAATCAATTATCACCTTGCCGACAAAGGTCCGTCTAGTTAAAGCTATGGTTTTCCCAGTAGTGATGTATGGAAGTGAGAGCTGGACCATAAAGAAGGCTGAAGAATTGATGCTTTTGAATTATGGTGCTGGAGGAGACTCTTGAGAGTCCCATGGACTGCAAGAAGATCAAACCTCTCCATTCTGAAGGAAATCAGCCCTGAGTGCTCACTGGAAGGACAGATCCTGAAGCTGAGGCTCCAATACTTTGGCCACCTCATGAGAAGAGAAGACTCCCTGGAAAAGACCCTGATGTTGGGAAAGATGGAGGGCACAAGGAGAAGGGAACAAGATGGTTAGACAGTGTTCTCGAAGTTACTAACATGAATTTGACCAAGCTGCAGGAGGCAGTGGAAGACAGGAGTGCCTGGCGTGCTCTGGTCCAGGGGGTTGGACACGACTAAACAACTA